GCTACTCAATAGAAATAGTTGGTAACTCATGAAAAACAAAGACTTTAATCACTAATCAACCCTTATTCTCAATCCCCAACATGCTCAAGATTAGATTAACCCATCACCATCCTTTTAGTTAGGGGATTACTCACTAATCATGGTGGAACCAAGTTAATCACACAACTAACAAGGAAAGATATGATTAACAAGCAAATGAAAGAGATATAGTAAGTAAATAAGAAGTTAACGGAAAGAAATTACTAATGGAGCTTCATTAATCTTTAAAATGGTTCATTACAGGTCATCTAAGACCACAACATTAGTGTTTCTCTCTCTAAGATTAAGCTAAGAAAACCCTAGATTATGCTAAGCTAATACCCTAATTAATTGCTAAGGAGAGAGACTTAAAACTATTTATACAAAGGCTTAAAAGAGAGTAGCCAACTTAGATGCACGCCTTTGCAAGCATTCTGCGCGCCCGCAATAATCTGGGTATGAAAAGTGAAACCCAGCGATGCGCGCTCGCGTATGATAATTGCGCAACCGCGCATATATGATGCAAGCTCGCGATATAGGCGCGACCAAGGCGTGCAGACTTCCTATCCTGATTCTGGAATTTGCTCCTCAACTCTGTGTGCACCGTTTCACAGAGACTGCGCGCCCACGCAACTTGGGTGCGTGCCCTCTCCTAGGTCACGCATCAAGCACGCATAGTTCCTGCCTTGATGCTCAGATTTTGCTTCATGTAAGCGCCCGCGCAGCTTGCCAGTGTGCGCCCTCTCTATAGTTGCACAGCACCTCATGAATTAAGCTTCTCTCCTTAGTCCAACATCAAGGTTTACATGCAAAACATAAATAAAAGAAACCAAGGTAGAAAAGAGACAAAAAAAGGGATAAAACTAGAAGGAAAAGAGAATAAAGAAAGGAAGCTAAAGACGTAAAAGAGGCCAGAAACAAGCTACAAGCATGGGGGGAAACCACTAAAACGAGCTCTAAATCGTGGCACAAATGCCACTCATCAATCACTTGTTACCAAGAAGCATTAACGAATCTCCCAGATCAAACACCCATACAACAAATCCAAGAATGAAATGATATGGAACCAAAGAGATCTTCTCATAAGCCGATGCACAATTAGTAAATTCAACCTTATAGCTCTATTTTCCAAAATTGAAAGCGACAATGGTGAATCCTGAAATAGTATTGAATTTAAATATCGTCTTGGTGACATTATCTCTCACATAGTAACAATTGTCATTGAATGAAGGCATATTAGATGGAAAACAAGAGAATAATTGAGAGCAAACATCAAATTTGAAATCAATTTCTTCATCAAAGATTGGGGGTCCAATAAAATCAACTTGATTATCAATGATGGAGCCAAGGTTATCCTTCTCTATAACCAATTCCAATCTCATCTATAACTAATACTAAAAAACTTACCGCTGACATCATAATTATCTATGTGACAGTTTCTTATAAAAAAAATTCCCTCCAAAACAATTATTGACATCATTTTTTTTCTTTTTGTTTTCAAGGTAAAGCTAATGTTTGGAAATAATTGATTTATTATACATTTTTCTATAAGTTTTTAAATACACAATTTCTATTCCGATGAAGTAGAATAATTGACCATTGGTCTCTTTCACATTCTTTTTTTCCACCTTACCCTGATTTTTGTAAAAAATAATCTCCTACATTTTATTAGTGATTGTACAGTTTGGATTTTCCACTCTTTTTTAATTCTTTTAAATTTTCTATAATGAATAAAAAACGAATGCTAACACCATGTCCTTTATTTTAGCTCAATTACTCTAAAAAGAGGGATTCACGATTTATAATGTTTTTCTTAAAATATTTATATTACAACTTACAAGTAAATTATTTATTATTAAAATGTGCATCGCACGGGACTAACTTAATTTTAAAATTACTATACTCATACACCCAACTTTCAGCATCTCAACAAACACCAATAATACCCTCAAATGTAAGCGGTACTCAACAAAAATGTCACCAAAACAATATTTTTTTCCAATTAAAGAGAATAAAAATAAAAAATAAAAAAAAAATAAAAAAATGTCACCACTGATTAATTCACTTGTTCAACAACAAAACCACACACAAGAATCTGCAACACAAATCCAATTTCTCAACAAAACCACAATAAATGTCAAAATCGTGCATAGCTACCAAATTTCGAACTGTTCTGTTAGTGCCTCGGAGCGCCCGCTCCTCACTACGGATAGCCAATTGCACCCTCCGTCGTAGTGTCAATACCCAACTCGCTCAATAGCAACCATATCTGCAAAATTGCAGCCTTTGGTGATGGAACTTCAAACAACGGGTGTTGTAAACTGATCGGCGTTTGTTCGAAAATGAAGGAGTGATTCGATTTTGTGGGGGGTATTCAATTTCTAGGCGAAAGACGGTAACTCGCTGGAAAAATCGACGGGCTGGTGGAGCTTTGACAGTGGATTCTCTTCGGAAGAAATAACAGAGGTGGCGGCGCCTTGATTTTGAATATGGAGAGGAAATGTTGGTGGCGCTTGTGTTGATTCTCGCAGCAAGAGTAAAAGAAATCGAGGGAAAAAAAGATTAGTGGGCGGTGATGATGATGGCCGGTGGTGATTGAAGTCACAAATCGCCGGAATATTCAATGGGACGATGCTTTGATTTTTGTTGGTCATCAAAATTTCCGAGTAGAATCGAATGAAGGTGGTTTCTTTATTAGATCTAGAAATGTTGGTCTGGATGTTGGGTAAAGCAGCAAGACATAATATGAGAGAATTCATATTTATCTCCTTGATAAACTTGAGAAGTTTATCCAATGTTATATAATATATGTATTTAGTAGATGTTCATTATATCCCTACGATTATTCTACTATATTTTAGATATTAAATTTATTATTGTATAAGGAAACTATATATATATATATATATATATATATATATATATATATAATATATATATACTCCCATGTCATTCAACAATAAGAATATACATCTATTTTTTCCTCAACTTTCTTTCTCTTCTCTTTAATTTTATAACACGTTATCAGCACCAAATCTCTTAATAATAATCTCTTAATAACAATATACGGTTTGTTCTTGATGTTTTGTGGAGAAATATCTCTGGGTCCGATGAGAAAACGAGAGGAAAGGAGTTCGTCAAATATCTGGGTATACTATTAATCAAAGGAATAGTCATTGTTATAATAATAAGTTCTCCGTAAACAGGATTTCGCATCAATTAAAGGACTCCTTAAGTTTGATCTTAAAGCCGGCACTATCCTTTAGTGGGTTTTTTTATTCCCGAATTTTAATAATCAAGGTGATCGGACTGATCATGCTCGATATCAGGGAAGTTCACTTTCAAGTCTAATATACAGTTTTTATAAATTTATATTTCGTAATCTAATTCTAGTGTTCTGCATAATATGTTTATTATGTGCCCTTAATTATGCGTTTTTTTTTTTGCAAAATTTATGGATTTGTAATGGAAGAAAATCAATTATGTAACCTTTCCATTCAACTTTCACCAAATCTACACAAATTACAAAGAGCAATCTTGGGCTACAAATCAGCCACTGATTTGCTAATAATACGGAAACTAGCTAAAGCTAAGGTAACTAAATATTTGACAGCTAGGAAAGAATAAATACAATAAAAATTATATATACATAATAATCTAATGCCTAGAATATATTCGTGATATATATTAGTAATGGAGGTGGGTTGAGTACGAAGACCTTTATGGGAGTCTGTCTATTTGGGGCTAATGTGTTAGTTGACTGGTTAAGTTGCATGTTCTTTACGTTTGCTAATACTTGTTGTGTGTCCATTGATAAATCATATTTAATTATGGACTTATAATTTATCTTAGTTAATTAGGCTTTTGTTTTCGAATGTTTTATTGTGTCGAACCTCTTCCTTGATCTAGAGTGTTAGGCAATGGTTTTGTCGAGCATAGAGAATGTGCTAAGCTTTACCTTGTGAATATCCTTATTAGCTTAAAACTTTAAAAGGGAATTAGAATTATTAATGTTAATCTTTGGTATATAATTTAGCGTATCTATAAACTTGAAATATATATATGTACTAGAGGTATAACATTTTTTTTTCTTGGTCTAGAAAACACCCATTATACCTCTACACTTGATAGCTAAAGTGAAAAGCTTGGTTCAATATAATATCATACCAGTAAGCAAGGTCGCACAAAGGTTAGTTTGTATGTAATCCACATGTGGTAAAAACATGAAGTTTGTACCTTTATTTCTTGAATGTTTATGTATATTTTGTGACTATTTATTATATGAGATGATAAATCTGTACAAAAGAGTTGGTTGATAAATCGTAAAACCTTCACCTGTTTTTTACGCCTTCGTGATGAATATAAGTTATATCTTTCGTGTATAGAAACTATATACAGTGGAAAAAGTCGATAATAAAATGTTTCAGATTGGATGGTGTGGTTGCTTCCAAAATAAAGTCATGTAGGTATCAGGGCACACTTATGTTTAATTTTTGGCTTCTTTTGAAGAGCTCTTTCCCAAATTAAAGTCAAGAAGAACCGCAATTCCCAAATTGCAGCCAAAGTTTTAAGTTTTCCCATTCTACCGTCCACGTAAGCACTGGTTAAAAAACCGGTTTTTTTTTTTTTCCGGTCCAGGGTAAACCGCTACTTGAAGTAGCGGTTTCTTTGCAATAAACCGCCACTTCAAGTAGCGGTTTCTTAGTTTAAAACCGCTACTTGAAGTAGCGGTTTGTTTACAAAAAACCGCTATTTTATGTAGCGGTTTATTTTGGAAAACCGCTACTTCAAGTAGCGGTTTACTTTGAAAAACCGCTACTTGAAGTAGCGGTTTACCCTGGACTGGTTTTTTTTTCAAACTTGCATAATCACTCAAAAAAAAAAATCTGCAAGTTGTGTACCTGTAAAACATGAGATATATAGCATATTTTCAACACAACCACCATAAATAACAAGTTTATGAAGATCTAAGGAAGTCGAAATTGCAAAGTCGAATATTTTTCAATTGATTAAATATAACAAAATCCAATTCTAAGCATTTACAAAAAAATTAGTTTAGTTCCAAAATATACACTTAGCTCGGGCGTTGCTTCTTCCCATGAGGTGACGATGAAGATGATGCAGCTGTCTCCTCTGGAATGTCATCCAGGCCAACTCCAACCCCAGACGTAGTGTTGCTACGCCGTCGGTTTCTCTGATACTGGCGATGCACTAGTGGAGGAGATGTCATGATAGTATGCTGAGAAGGAGTCGGTGGACGGAAGGCACGTGCTGAATGGCCTCCACGATGAGGTGGTGGTCTGATCGGCATAATGTGCACAGTAGAAGATGAAGACGTGGACGGTCGAGGCTGCTGAATAAGGTGTGACTGCCCCACCCTAGACAAGGTTTGGCCACAAAATGATGTAAAACCCTGCATCGTCTGTATGGCAAATGGTATAGCCGTCTCTGGTGGCAAGTGGGAGATGGTCTCAGTAGCTCCCGATAGCTGGACGTGCAAATCAGCAAATGCATGTGCCTACATTTAAGTGTAGTTTTAATGTTAGTAAAATGAAATCAAAAACGTAAGAACTAGATTGAAATGAAGTGAAGTTCATACAAGCAGGAGGTCAGAGGTAGCTGGCTGGTAATGACTCGGGGGGCGCTCCTGCGAAGGTGGAGTAATGACCAGTCTCGTGATGCGACGGTACCAAGCCATGTACTCTGTCATGGCCGGGGAAGAAGTCCCAGTGAACGGGTATCCCATGAGAGTGAGAATGTAAGCACGGCTATGGCGCTGAACTGTCAAGTCATCAGCTCCCTCTGGCATCTGTGAGAAGTGACGCCTGAGCCACGTCAACTTCAAAGTAGATCCCTCCAGAAACGGCTTACCGTTATCATCATGGCCAGGTCGAACTCCCAGCAATTCCTCAACTAGGTCATGCCATCCCTCAAATGGAGGTCCAATGACAGGAGGGCCGTGCACTCTCAGACCTAACAGGACGGAGACATCCTGTAAAGTAATGGTGGCCTCACCTACCACTAGGTGGAAAGTATGTGTCTCCTGCCTCCACCTCTCAACCAACGCCGTAAGAAGAGATCGATCAAGCAAAAACCCTCCTCCCAAAATCCTATGTACACCGTAAAACCCAGCAAGCCTAACGTACTCTAGTACTCCGCCATCTACCCTCCACTCACGTCCCACGCTGACCATATGCTCCCTAACTGAGAGAACTCTATCAGCTACGCCACTCCAAACATCGTGGCTCCTATGGGAAGTCTGCAAGCGTAGAACAGATGGATTAACTGGGCCTGGACGAATCACCGGCTCCATGGGACCTACACGATAACAAAAAATTGAATTAATGTTAAGCGTTCGAGAAAAAACATAAATATTAAACAAGAATATATAATTAATCATGTTACCCAGATGATCCAAATCCACCAATAAGAGCCGGACATGTCTTCTTGTTATGCCCAGGTCGCCGACAAACACTGCATGCCTTCTTCACACGATTGGGACGCTCATCCATTTCATTTCGAATTCTAGTGGACCGTCGGCCTGGGCCTCTTTTCAAATCTGGGTTGGCAATAGTAGTAGGACCATTGTAAGCTGACCAGTGGCAAGGATCAGGAACTGGTGCGAAACACTTCGCGTATGAACGCCTATATTCGGCGGTCATGAAAAAAGAATCCACAAAGTCTGCATGTGATAGGCTTCTATGACGACAAACTGCTAGTACATGAGAGCATGGGAGCTTGTATATTCTCAATTTCTCACAAGTACATGTCTTGCTCAACAGATTCACAGTGTGGGAGTTACCACCTTTACCAGCTTTTCTTCTTCCACGACCGATCCTAACCTGATACAACCCGATGGCATCATAGTCAAAAGCAACAACCTCATAGTGCGTGGCTTTCTCCATGTTGGCTTCTATTGTCTTCTTAGCCTTTTCCGATAACTCATGGCCCTCTTCAAGTCTTCTTTTACTCCAACTTCTTCTAGTTGCAAAATAGGAGTTAACCCGGAAAAAGGTCATTTGCACTAAAGCGGTTATCGGGAGACATCGAGCCCCCTTTAAGACTCCGTTGAAAACTTCCGACATGTTTGTAGTCTTCACACCAAACCTGAAACCACCATCATGATGAATGGACCACTTACTGTACGGAATTTCCATCAAGTACCTACGGGCCTCTACATTCAAGTCACCAATTTTGTTGATGTAGTAATCAAACTTCTTCTTCTGCCTTGCAGTAGCTGCTTTGCCAAAGAGGTTCTTTATGACGACACTTTTAAATTTTGAGTTCACATTAGAAGCCAAGTGTTGTGTACAGTACTTGTGGTAGGCATTGGGCTCCTCCCAACCACTTCCAACTTCTTCCATTGCTGCTTAAATACCAGCATGTCTGTCAGATATCACACATAGCCCTTTCCTATCTGTAACTCGAGCACGAATACAAGCCATGAACCAAGACCAACTATCATTGTTCTCTCCTTCGACAACCGCAAAAGCAAGGGGGAATAGTTGAAAATTGGCATCCGTTCCCATAGCAATGAGTAGAGTGCCTTTGTATTTGCCATATAAATGAGTGCCATCAATGGTGATAAGGGGTCTGCAGTGACGGAATCCATCAATACATGGCTTGAATGCCCAAAAGACTCGTTGAAAAACATGTGTTCCACGAACCGTACACTCTAACAACCTCCACTCAACAACAGTTCCAGGATTTGATTCCTTGAGAGCTTGCATGTACTTAGGGAACTGTTCATATGAACCCTCCCAATCCCCATAAATGAGTTTTATTGCCTTTTGTTTCGCTAGCCATGCTCTCTTGTAGGTTATTTGGAATCCATCAAATTTCTCTTTCACAAGTTGCACCATTGTCTTGATTTTCAATGAAGGATCAACGCGAATGACATCTAGAAGAGCATTGCAAACGAACTCGGAAGTCAGTAGCTTATGATCTCCCGAGTCGATGTCACCAACATAGTTACTTGCATGAGGGCCGTTGTACCTCACAATTTTAAACGTAGAGAGTGTTGGATCTTTCACTCCTCTAAGCCTCCATGAACAACTACATTGTTCTTTCCTCTTGCACTCAACAACATATTTCTCTGGCTCTGCCTCCACAACTCGAATTGTTTGATTTCTAGCTATGGAGTAAGATTTCACAGCATCTTTCAGTTGTTGCAATGAGTCAAACTGCTGACCAACCTCAAATTCTCCCCCATTGTTATATGTCTCATTTCCTAACCAAGACATCCATGAGTTATTCAAACGAGGATCAACTTGCGCCACTTCATTGAAGTCTGAAGTGGGGGCGCTTCCTTTAATTGCCTTATCACGAGCTTCAATTACCTCTTCATCATCATCTTCATCAGTGTCATTCATCTCTGCATCGCCAAATACATCAACATTGTTTGGGTCAAGAGAATCAAGAATGCCTTGTGGTTGTGTGCTTGTCGAGGTTCCAACATTAGGCGATGAGGCCGGAGACCTAAACTGTGAGAGATGGTCATTGACATAATGTGGATCAACAAGCATTCTTGTGAATGACCCTATGCCCACACTTTGAACACCAGTGGAAAACGGTTGATCCACACTACCAAAAAAATCCATCCCCGGAAAGGAACCAGTGTTAGTTTGCACAACTGGCTCCTTTGGAACTTGTTCAATGAACAATTGCATTGCAACAGAAGAACTCTGAGTCACAGCAATCCACATAGCTCTAACAGCGTTGTCGTCATTTAACGGAATTGCAACATATGCCCCAGCCATAGGATAACGCATAACCACCTTCAACTCCACACCTCTAGGATCAACACTCAATTCTTCATATAGCTTGTTCAGAACTTGTGAATATGTCATCGCAGAATGTACAAACACAAATTTTTGATTCCCACCCCTATACGTTATATCGCTATCTTTGTGGACAATTTCTCCACCCCAATAGCAATATAGAGGGTAGTTCGGAACCTCCATGTTTCATTCTAGAAAAGACCATTATTAATCAAAGATATTAGATTGCAAAAATTCATTAACAGTGTGGCAATGTCCTAACATCAAGCAAGCAAACTACACAATTATAGCAACCTAAACTGAGCTATGAAGGTCTTAATACCTCTTGAAGCTCAACATGGGCATAAGTCATGACTACATGTACTTTGAGCTCATGTACTTTGTGTATAGAAGCTCTATTTTCACTTTCAAAATCAGCGATTATAGCAACCTAAACTGAGTAATGTGATCGAAACCATTAATAATTCTACAAGGGTTATATGTAAGGTAAGTAAATCAACAACAACAACCAAAACCAACCACAAACATACATACAATTCTGAAACTCAATAACAACAACAATAAACAAGAACACTAACAACAACAACACAACCAAAACCGAAACTCAATAACAACAACAATAAACAAGAACACTAACAACAACAACACAACAAAAACCAACAACAACAACACATACATACAATTCTGAAACTCAATAACAACAACAAACTCAATAACAACAACAAACCCAATAACTGAATACAAAAAATAATTAGGGCACTTACCACAAACAAGAAGATCAGCACGTTTCTTCTGAAATTAGCGAAGCCGACCACTAAAGTCGAACCCTCGGCGTCAACAGCGGCGGCCTTCGTTGCTGAGGAATGCTCCGGCGCGTCGGTGGATTCCTTGGCTGCGCCGGCTTCCGTTGAAGGAGGTGTGATTTTGGTGGAAGGCGTGGATGGGATTTTGGTGAGAAGACGAAAATGAAAGAGGAAAGTGAAATCAGGAAATTATACCTGCTAGAAAACCGCTACTTGAAGTAGCGGTTTATTAAAAAGAAACCGCTACCTGAAGTAGCGGTTTATTAGTAAAAACCGCTACTTCAGGTAGCGGTTTTGCTGTAGACCGGATTTAAAATTTCTTCCCCCTGAACCGGTGACGTGGACGGTACTTTGGGAATTCTTAAAACTTTGGCTGCAATTTGGGAATTGCGGTTCTTCTTGACTTTAATTTGGGAAAGAGCTCTCTTTAGAAATAGTTCACTTGTTTTACTATTCTTCTTAATATGCGAATTTTAATGTAGTCTCAAAAGGATAGTAAATGCCCTCCGCAATGATGAATATTCTCAACTGCGTCATTATATATCTATGTGTCTAATAAATTGTACTACGTAGGAAGTTTTAATGGGATTTTGCACTATGTTGAAATTATTTCATATATAATCCCAAATTGTTGTTTATACATATAATATGTTATTCACCTAAGAAGTTAGTTTTCAATTTCTAAATACATGACAAGAGTCATGTTTATTCACATGTGATATATGTATCGTGATGAAGGGATTTTTAACTATGAAGAATTATTATCTCTAAAGTGTTTCACATAAATCATAGGTACGTTATAAGTGTGGGTGATGTGTATAGTGAATTATGTGCTACATAAGTTTCATGTATGACCTTGATATGCTGGATTCAGTGAAATTTCTTAAGTATGGTTTTTCAGCGACATGACATGTTAGTAACCTTATAAGTTGATATTATTATAAAACGTACTGACATGATCCCAATGTTGAATTATTAATTGATGCGTGTTTAAATTTGATTTTATATGATATAATATGCCTACATGAAGCTGTATTGCAAGAATGATGCGTTGAACATGATATATTCATACATATGGATCTGAAGTTCGTTTAATTTATGAAGAGTCAGAGAAGCCTAAAAAATAATATTATGATACGTATATGACTTAAATATATATATATTAGTTTCTAATATAGTATGTTGCTTAAACAATCTATATTCACATTTCACAATAGTAGGGATAGTGTGATTCTATAAACACAATGTCATGAGGAAAATATATACAAAAGATTTGGAATAGTATCTAGACACCGAACCTGGGTGGGTGTGAAATGGTGATTCATAAATTACTAGATTTACTCACTCCCTAAAGTAAATGAGGATTTGTATGATTGAAAGCAAAATAAGCATGTTTGCATGATGTTTTCTTATTTATGATTCATTAAATAGGAATTGCAAAAACATGATTATACATTATCTATTTGGCCGAGAAATAATGTTTATGAGTTTAAGAAATTAAACATGACATTGTGAGCACCTTACTCGAAAAATGTATTTATTATGCTCATTGTTTTAAGAATTTGCAATATAAAGATTAATATAATTGGGCAAGAGAAACAAATAAGAGTTTTATAAGAGTAATTTTACCTTGCTTGATAAAATGACATTGCCAAAAGAATTTATGGCTTAAAAAGCGCAAGAGATTAAATTATAAAGGTTGTAGAATTGGTTCTATACCCCCATATGCAAGGATTAGGGGGAGACAACATTTATTTCATTTTTATATCTAATCTTTGCACATGAATAATAAGATACACTGATGATCAGTTTGGTACATACATTAGCTTAAATGTCGATTTATTTAATAGGGAGGCCACATAATTATAAACTATATTACAAATTTACAATGACACCATCCGGAAGATGGATATAAATAAATGTCATTGACTATATACCAACTGTAAATGCTCCAATTAAAATTGATATCCTAGAAGGATAACAATAGTTTCTAATGATCTTAAAGCACGCCTGAACCGTAGTAGCCAATTAAGTTCCAAAGATAAGAATTTTCTAACAGGAAAGAACAATTATTGACAATAGCAAATTTGAGAAAGTGATACATTGTGCTAAATCTATATAAGAGATATGTTTAGTAAAATTATTATGTACCATGATTATATAAAATACTCCAGAAGAGTATAAAATGTCCAACAAGATTAGCATGTATCAAGATTATAATCAATGCTCCAACAGGGTATGAGCTGAGTTATTATTGGATCAAGTATTAGTTGATTGTCTTGCCAAATGTATAAAGAAACACACATTGGTGTTCTAATATCACATCATACTCATGGCAATGCATAAAATATATCTAATAAAGTAAATAGTACTAGTGTTAGAAAAATGACCATAATTTAAATTTAGATAAACGATTAGATGTGATAATTAAATTAGGCCATCCGGGTTCTATAAATACCCATTATGGAAACCTGAAGTTTCATTTGATAATGTGCTGACACTCTCTCAATGTTAGATATATGAAATGAATTGAATGGCAAGACATAACATTGAGATTGAGGTATATTTGGATTGTAATTTTTAATGATTGTGTTGAAGAAAATTTCAAGAGATAATATATTCGTTTTGAATAAATTTTCATACGAAAAAGTAATAGGTGACTAGAAGTTCACCAGAATAACTTATACGTTGTCACATAATGGTGACCAGAAGCTCACCAAATACAAGTTGTACGTGGAAATTTGAATATTTAATTAGTATCATACTATCAAGGTTTCTAGT